CACTTTGTTAATCGTAACACTTTGTTAATCGTAACACTTTGTGAATCGTAACACTTTGTGAATCGTAACACTTTGTTAATCGAAACACTTTGTGAATCGTAACACTTTGTAATCGTAATTTGTGAATCGTAACACTTTGTGAATCGTAACACTTTGTTAATCGAAACACTTTGTTAATCGAAACACTGAAGGATCTAAGATGGCCGCCGTGGGCTTTGTTCGGTTTCTCAGTTTCTTTTTCCTCTCTGCTTGGGGTTTGTCCGTCGTTTTAAGCTGACACTGTGTTATTAGAGAAAGAAAGCGTCGTTCCGTGTTATTTCTGCTTTTTATTGTCATAATTGAAACGTGTTTTGAGCGTTTTGCGTGTGTTTGTGCTGTGGTCCTGCGAGTGAGGAGCAGGTTTAATTAAGCCTGATTCAAACGTTATTTCACAGCGTCTGTGCGTCGGCCTCTGATGTTAAAGTGCACTCAGAATGAAAGGCAATCTGAAGGTCTTCTGTAAAGCGCCTCGGTAAGAGCTCCATGAGACTAATGCCTCATTATCGGAGCCCAAACAACACTGGATCACGGCACATTACAGAATTATCCACAGAGACGCAAGATTAACCACAATGTGAACGCTGTAATTATGAAGACACCAAGGCTGCAATTATTCAGGCCGTATAATGTCCCCGTCTCCACGGGCTCCGATTCTGCGTCAGAACTGAAAACCCTGGAGTTTCGAGTTCTACAAACGTGTTCAGAAACGTCCACGTGTGTCAGATGCCCTCCCCCAGTCTCCACGGGGTCTCACCCGGAATTAACACCAGGAGAGCGGCTCCAGGCTGAAGCTCTGACACTGACGGTTCAGTGTCGGATTTGCAGGATTTTGCAGCAAATGTCTCTGCACGCCCACTTTTTCTTCCTTTTGTCAGGTGGAACTTTAGCTTTTTTTTCAACTTTGCGTCATTCTGACGCACAAGGGAACTGGTTTAGTCCTGGTTTTAGTTTAGGTTTAGTCTTGGTTTAGTCCTGGTTTTAATCCTGGTTTTAGTCTGGTTTTAGTTTGGAGGTGTGGTCCACGCGGCGTTTACAAGGCAAAAAAGGTGATGCTCCAAACTATGATTAGGTTGTCATGGCGACATATAAAGTGTCGGGGTGGGGCATGTCAGAGTTAGGGTTGTACCGCGGTATAAAGTGTTGTTTTGTTTATGATATATTTATTTTGGACAAGTAAAGCCACGTTTACACTGAAACAAATCACCGTATCACAGAATCAGACACGATCTGTGTCCAAACTCGTCGATTCTGTGTTTGTTTCCTCCACAGATTTGACACATTTATTTATATTTTACAGAAACAAAACTTAAATCACATGATTCATTTACATAAACTAATGTGTGTGAAAAAAACTGTTGTTTCTTGTGTCTGATGTGGTTCAGTTTGTGTTGGACTAAAGACACAGAGACTCATATGAGTGTTCTCCCTGTGACAGAGGGGTGTTCTCTCTGTGACAGAGGGGTGTTCTCTCTGTGTCAGAGGGGTGTTCTCTCTGTGTCAGAGGGGTGTTCTCTCTGTGACAGAGGGGTGTTCTCTCTGTGTGACAGAGGGGTGTTCTCTCTGTGTCAGAGGGGTGTTCTCTCTGTGACAGAGGGTGTTCTCTCTGTGTCAGAGGGGTGTTCTCTCTGTGACAGAGGGGTGTTCTCTCTGTGTCAGAGGGGTGTTCTCTCTGTGACAGAGGGGTGTTCTCTCTGTGTCAGAGGGGTGTTCTCTCTGTGTCAGAGGGGTGTTCTCTCTGTGACAGAGGGGTGTTCTCTCTCTGTGTCAGAGGGGTGTTCTCTCTGTGTCAGAGGGGTGTTCTCTCTGTGACAGAGGGGTGTTCTCTCTGTGTCAGAGGGGTGTTCTCTCTGTGTCAGAGGGGTGTTCTCTCTGTGTGTCAGAGGGGTGTTCTCTCTGTGTCAGAGGGGTGTTCTCTCTGTGTCAGAGGGGTGTTCTCTCTGTGACAGAGGGGTGTTCTCTCTGTGTGACAGAGGGGTGTTCTCTCTGTGTCAGAGGGGTGTTCTCTCTGTGACAGAGGGGTGTTCTCTCTGTGTGACAGAGGGGTGTTCTCTCTGTGACAGAGGGGTGTTCTCTCTGTGTCAGAGGGGTGTTCTCTCTGTGTCAGAGGGGTGTTCTCTCTGTGTCAGAGGGGTGTTCTCTCTGTGACAGAGGGTGTTCTCTCTGTGTCAGAGGGGTGTTCTCTCTGTGTCAGAGGGGTGTTCTCTCTGTGTCAGAGGGGTGTTCTCTCTGTGTCAGAGGGGTGTTCTCTCTGTGTCAGAGGGGTGTTCTCTCTGTGTCAGAGGGGTGTTTCTCTCTGTGTGACAGAGGGGTGTTCTCTCTGTGTCAGAGGGGTGTTCTCTCTGTGTCAGAGGGGTGTTCTCTCTCTGTGTCAGAGGGGTGTTCTCTCTGTGTCAGAGGGGTGTTCTCTCTGTGTGACAGAGGGGTGTTCTCTCTGTGTCAGAGGGGTGTTCTCTCTGTGACAGAGGGGTGTTCTCTCTGTGTCAGAGGGGTGTTCTCTCTGTGTCAGAGGGGTGTTCTCTCTGTGACAGAGGGGTGTTCTCTCTGTGTGTCAGAGGGGTGTTCTCTCTGTGTCAGAGGGGTGTTCTCTCTGTGTCTCTCTGTGTGACAGAGGGGTGTTCTCTCTCTGTGAGAGGGTGTTCTCTCTGTGACAGAGGGGTGTTCTCTCTGTGTCAGAGGGGTGTTCTCTCTGTGTCAGAGGGGTGTTCTCTCTGTGTCAGAGGGGTGTTCTCTCTGTGTCAGAGGGGTGTTCTCTCTGTGTCAGAGGGTGTTCTCTCTGTGTCAGAGGGGTGTTCTCTCTGTGTCAGAGGGGTGTTCTCTCTGTGTCAGAGGGGTGTTCTCTCTGTGACAGAGGGGTGTTCTCCTGATGGTGAGTCTGTTCTGTGTGAGTATTTGTGTCTCAGCTGTTTCCTGTTTGTCTCTAGTTTGTTTAAACTGTTTTCCTTTTACGACGTCACAAACCCAGAGAATCAGAAGGAGCGAGTCACATTGTCCAATCAGGACGAGACTCGACATTTTACATTAAACTATATGAAGTATTTACAGGACGAGTCACTGTTAGAGTTTTGTAACAAACATAAAACAGCACAACAGAAGGAAGTGTGTTTCATGCTGGGAATTATTTTGGTCGCGGCAAGAAACACTAATTGAACATGACGGACGGAGTGAGAAAACACGTAAAGGGTATTGATCCCGGTTATTTCTCCACTCTAACGGCAGACGACCCAAGACCATTTGACCAGAAATTGGTCATAAACATCGACGGAGCCAAATCACCCTTTTCAACCCCGACAGAGTCTGGACCAAACCAAACTTCTGGTCAGAATCTCCAACTCCCTGGACAAATATTCACTTGGGCGACATCCACAATGACTTGGTGAAACTCCTGGGCCATTCACAGCAGAAAAGATGAAAACCTCCAAGAGTCTGGATGTGTTGTTGAACTTGTTGAGTCCACGGTTTGTTAGGATCTTCTACGTTTGCTCTGCGGATGTTTGAAAGTCGTTTAATTCACCGTTAGTGGTTCTTTTCACTCAGAATACGAAAAAGACATTTTCCTTCTTCCGTGTTTCTATTTGTGCGTCTGATAATGCAGCAGGAATTTACCATTATCGGGGAGAAATACACGAGGTTACACACTGTGTTTGACGCTAACCGTGTTTCTGCCTCCGACCAAAATATTTCCCAGCAGCAACGCGGGTTTTTAATAACAATGACGTCAGCTCAAACTCGACTGTTATTATGACCCGATCTCTGTTCACTGTGACCAGATGTTTATATGACAGTTTGAATTTCTGGATATTTGTCGTTGTTTGAGACGTGTATCCGGACTGTTCGAGTTTTACACCACGTACACACACACACACACACACACACACACACACACACACACACACACACACACACACACACACAAACTTTTACGAGTAGTTTGAACATCGGGCAAATTGAAATTTCCATCCCGTCTAAAACTGTCTCGTTCTCTCTCGTTTTGAACAGACTTTGTGGACGACTCGGTTGTAAACTGTTGAATGCTTGAAATAAAATGACCAGTGTTTAATATTTTACAAGGTCAGAAATCTTTAGGAGCTTGGACTGAATAAAAAGATTATGAGTCTGTCCTAAAAATCCAACTTTATGGATTATTCACAAAGTTTATTTCTGTAAAATCATCAGTGGGTTAAGTGTTCAGTGGTTTGTGTTTGTTGAAATAAAAAATCACTTGACCCATCGAATCACGACGACAAAACAGAATAATCCACGTGTCATTTGTTTTTCAAAATAAAACCAGAAATAAGAAAATGAAAAAACAACGATTTTCTTCATTATTTGTCTCCAAAACCAAAATGAAAAAAACAGATAATGATTCGTTTTTACAGTTTTTGATTTTGTGTTTAAATGAAAAATGGAAAAAAACTGATAAAGAACTGAACCAGGACTAAACCAGGACTAAACCAGGACTAAACCAGGACTGAACCAGGACTGAGTGTCAGGACGGGTCCAGAGGTGCACCCTTTCAGACCAGACCTGGACTGGGACCGGGACTGGGACCCAGACCAGGACTAAGACTGGGACCAAACCGGGATTGAGACCAGAACTGAGACTGAGACTGGTTTAGTCCTAGTTCAGTTTTTTTTTTTTCATTTTTCATTTAAACACACAATAATAATAATAATAATAATAATAATAATAATAACAATAATAATAATAATAATAACGATAATAATAATGTTTTCTGTTTTTTGGTTTGGAGACAAAATTTTATTTTTTTTTGTTTTCTTATTTTTGGTTTTATATTGAAAAACAAAAGAACGAATGACTGATTCAGAACTGTTGCTGATGTTTTTAATTTTTTTATTTTATTTCCCCCCCAAGCGCTGGAGTCAAACTTCTGCCGTCTTTGTTTCCTCCTCCGACAGTCTGACGTGTGTTTATATCCTGTTGTGTTTGTGTTTGTGACTCAGGAGCCATCTTCGAGGAAAACGCCGTGAGGGACGATGAGGTTTTCCAGTTGGCCGTGTCCGACCTGAGTTTGAGCGACGACATTCTCCACAGCGAGAAGATCACACACTCCATCAAACTCATCGAAGCCAACAACCCCTTCCAGGCCGTGCAAGAAGGTAAGGACCAAACGAGAGCACGAGATCTCAGGAGCTCAGGAGCTCAGGAGGACTACAACTACAGAGGACTACAACTATGGTGGCCTCAGACGGACAAACCAGAGCTGTACACTGCAAAAAAGTGCAAAAAAGTGACACTAAAAACACAAAATCCACAGAAAATTTGGATGAATCCTCATTTAAGTGACTAAAAGTGACAAATACAACCAATCCACCACAAATCAACAAGATAATACTCCCTACAACTGTACAAGTCAGATAATACTCCCTACAACTGTACAAGTCAGATAATACTCCCTACAACTGTACAAGTCAGATAATACTCCCTACAACTGTACAAGTCAGATAATACTCCCTACAACTGTACAAGTCAGATAATACTCCCTACAACTGTACAATCTTATGTAACAGATAATACTCCCTACAACTGTACAATCTTATGTAACAAATAATACTCCCTACAACTGTACAAGTCAGATAATACTCCCTACAACTGTACAAGTCAGATAATACTCCCTACAACTGTACAAGTCAGATAATACTCCCTACAACTGTACAATCTTATGTAACAGATAATACTCCCTACAACTGTACAAGTCAGATAATACTCCCTACAACTGTACAATCTTATGTAACAGATAATACTCCCTACAACTGTACAAGTCAGATAATACTCCCTACAAATGTATAACTCACACGTATGTAACAGATAATACTCCCTACAACTGTACAAGTCAACCTTATGTGATAGATAATACTCCCTACTACTTATGTCACAGATAATACTCCCTACAGCTATAGTTAAAAAAAATAAATAAATAAAGATTTCAGTTAACTGTGGTTTAATGGTTGAAGGAGATGATGGTCTCACTGGTTCTTGACCTTCAGGGCCACCGTAGTTTTTTTCCTGTGCTCCTCGTTAAGACTTTGTAAACGTTGTAAACGTGTTGTGCTGTTGTGCTGTTGTGCTTCACACTCACACCAAAACAGCACCGGTTCTGACGGGAATAATCAGCGCGGCAAAGTCGTTTCCGAGATTATGGTTTTATTTTATTAATTTTGTACAGTTAGTGAAGCGTAAAGAGTTTGTGTGTTTGGTTCGTTACGTTTGGAGGTTCTCGGTTTGGGCTCGTGCTGCTCGGAGCTGCTCAGCTTCCTGTTTGTAGGCGACATTTTGAGGACCACACAAAAGATGTCGTCATTTTGTTTTGTTTTTGTCGGTTGCTTTGGTGACGCTTCTGGTTTTTGGTGTTTTCAGGCACTTTTCTGATTCATGTTCCAGGTTTGTTTTACTGAATTATTGTGATTTATGTGACCAGTTTGATTGATAATACTCCCTACAACTGTACAACACCTCACCCTAACAGATAATACTCCCTACAACTGTATAACACAACTTACCCTAACAGATAATACTCCCTACAACTGTATAACACCTCACCCTAACAGATAATACTCCCTACAACTGTATAACAACTCACCCTAACAGATAATACTCCCTACAACTGTACAACAACTAACCCCTAAACTAGATAATACTCCCTACAATTGTACAACTTGTGGGTGTCGTGTTTTCGCGGCGGGTGTCGTGTTTCTGTGCCGGGTGTCGTGTTTTCGCGGCGGGTGTCGTGTTTCCGCGGCGGGTGTCGTGTTTCCGCGGCGGGTGTCGCGTTTTCCGCGGCGGGTGTCGTGTTTCCGCGGCGGGTGTCGTGTTTCCGCGGCGGGTGTCGTGTTTCCGCGGCGGGTGTCGTGTTTTCATGCCGGGTGTGGTGTTTTCATGCCGGGTGTTGTAGGGAGGTGCTCTACACTATGATGCACGTTTTATCCCTTCCAGCCCATCGGTGTCGTAAACGACACAGGAGAATGTTTTATAAAACCACACAGAACTTTCCAACCATAAAACATAGAACCTTACTTTTTTTCCTTTTGAAAGATGAGACTTTTGCTTTTCCGAGCAGATTTCCGTCATTTCCCTCGGTCACTCGCTGTGTGAAGGTGTCGGGAAAACGAGTGTCCAACAGGAACTTTGTTTTGGTCCAGACTCAGTGGCTCCGTCCATTTTGATTGGTCCAAACTTTGCCAAAGAGTGTAGTGAGTCAAAACAGTCGATGCTCTGAGCGTCTGTGTCAGAACAAGTGAAAAAGTCGCTCGAAGTGCAAAGATTTGTCACATAAATGGACAAATGACACATGTTGGTCTGAGTAATTGTGCATCTCTTGTTGTTTTTATTTTCAGTTTTATTTGAGTCCAAACGTCCAAATCCAAATGTAATAAACTCCATGTAAATACAGAAGTGGCTCTGTGTCCTGGACCTGACTCCAGCTGTTTCCACGACCTGCACCAGTCGAGTCATGGGGACACTGCACTTTTTTTTTTTTTGTTTTGAGACAATAAGGAGCTTTTTTGTTTATTTACAGACTTGACATTAAGACCCGAAATTAAACATTTTTTATGTCCAAAAAGTAGTTTCTACAAGTTTGTATGAAAGATTTCTGGTTTTGTAGTTTTTAGTTTTTTTTTTACAGTCATGACACGACTCCAGCAGCAGACGGTGAAATAACAGGATGTAGAACATTTCATTAGGGGTAAAAGGGAAAGTCTTAAACACAAAATTAAGAAAAAATAAATCCAGGAGAGAATAATTGTACTAAAACTGAGTGAGATTTCCACTCTTTCTCTCTCCTGAATACCTGAATGATCCAGGGTTTTGGACGAGACGTCTTGTGTGTTTGAGAGACACGTGACCTCAGTGAGCGTCTGTGATTGGACGAGGTTTGTCTCTGTTGTCGCATTAAAGACTCTTCTGATTCACACCGGAGACGCTCGGGTCACAGCAGCACGTCTTTGTCTCTGTGACCAGATGTGATTTTGATTTGATGAAAGCGGCGTCACAGCGTCCGGTTTAACACGTAACAAGTCTGTGTGGCTGCACGTCCTGGGCGTCTTCAGGCGTCAGCGCGGCGTGAATCTGACGTCGACGCTGTGTGTTGGTCTGGTTTTAGTCCTGTTCTAGTCCTGTTTTAGTCCTGGTTCAGTCCTGTTTTAGTCCTGGTTTAGTCCTGGTTTTAGTCCTGGTTTTAGTCCTGGTTTAGTCCTGGTTTAGTCCTGGTTTAGTCCTGGTTTAGTCCTGGTTTAGTCCTGGTTTAGTCCTGGTTTGTGTTTTTGTTTGTGTTGAACGTTCAGGGAATCGGAGTCAGAAGTTGAAAAAGTTAAACTTTTGACGTCAGACGCGTCGTGTCAACCAATCAGGGACGATTACCTAGAGACGTACTGACATTATCACAAAGAAGAAAGAGAAAGAGAGAAACGAGAACCAGAAACACAAATCTACGGTGTGTAAGAGTCATTAGTATAAATATAAACACGCCGCCACCGCCGTCACGTCGCCCACGTGTTTATGTCGTAAATACACAAAAGTCACTCTGGACCAGAAAAACCCGGCTCTTGTCGACCTCGGCGTTGCTCTGGTCACAAATCAAATATTTTTCTCCCACTGGTCCACGGCTCAAAACCTCCACCGAGTCGCTGAGCAGGTTTTTCCTTCAGGTTTTGTGACGTCGACTCTGGACGCAGCGTTTTTCATGTACATGTTTCATGTACAATTAGTGCAGCATAAATACAATTTATGACCTTAAACCCGGAGCTCGTGGAGATTTGTTGTCACCAGTTTTCTAACGCTGAAGTCGTCGCACTTGTGTCTTTATGAAGTCGTTTCACATCAATATTGTGATTTAAAATGTCATAATTATAAGAGAATGATCCTCAGGGGTCAGAGGTCAGAGCTGCAGACGCACGAGAATATGAATGACAATAAAGTTGAAGTTAATTAGATTCTTGTGTGAATCAACACCGGGTTTAGTCCAGGTTTAGTCCTGGTTTACTCCCATGTTAGTCCTGTTTTAGTCTTTGTTTGGTCCTGGATTAGTCCTAGTTCAGACTTGTTTGGTCCGGATTTGGTCCGGTTTTAGTCCTGTTTTTAGTCCTGGATCAGTCCTGGTTTTAGTCTTTGTTCAGTCCTGTTTTAGTCCTGTTTTAGTCCTGTTTTAGTCCTGGTTCAGTCCTGGTTCGGTGTCAGGAGTGAACAGGACTCAGGAGAATCAGTTTTCATCTTTAAAGTGTCACTGAAAGTCAAAACAAAACGCCGCCATCTTGTCTCCGTCTGATCCGGTTTAATCCTCCGGAAGCTTCTCTCCGTCTCTCTCTTCATCTCTCCCTCACTCCGTCTCTCAGCGGGGGTCCCTCGCATCGTCTCTCTGTCTCTCCCTCCGTCTCTCCTCCGTCCGTCCTCCCTCCGTCTCTCCCTCCGTCTCTCCCTCCGTCTCCTCCGTCTCTCCCTCCATCTCTCCCTCCGTCTCTCCCTCTGTCTCTCCCTCCGTCTCTCCCTCCGTCTCTCCCTCCGTCTCTCCCTCCGTCTCTCCCTCTCTCTCTCCTCCGTCTCTCCCTCTGTCTCTCCTCTCCGTCTCTCCCTCCGTCTCTCCCTCCGTCTCTCCCTCCGTCTCTCCCTCCGTCTCTCCCTCCGTCTCTCCTCCCTCCGTCTCTCCCTCCGTCTCTCCCTCCGTCTCTCCCTCCGTCTCTCCCTCCGTCTCTCTGGGGTCTGGGTGGTACAATCGCGCAGCGTCGCGCGATACCGTTTATTTGTTTTGGTTGTGGCTCCTCGTTAGCGGCGACTTCATAATGGGTCACGAACACACACACACACACACACACACACACACACACACACACACGAACACACACACACACGAACACACACACACACACACACACAACACACACACACACACACACACACACACACGAACACACACACACACACACACGAACACACACACACACACACACACACACACACACACACACACGAACACACACACACACACACACACACACACACACACACACACACACACGAACACACACACACACACACACACACACACACACACACACACACACACACACACACACACGAACACACACACACACACACACACACACAC